GGAATTTAAAGATTTACTGGAAGATAAAGGAAATCTAGAAACAGAATTTGCATACATGTTTTTAATGGACTCTGTGTGTATTATTATTATTATAAACATGCAAAAACTTTTCAGTCAAGAATTTCCAATTTAATCTATCAATCATTGGAACTTCCTATCAATTCCTAAACTTAAGAAGTAGTAGTAAAAGAAAATAACCAACTGACAAAATGAACTGCAAAAAGTTGGAAAATTTAAAGATATAACAGGAACATACCATAAAATCAGTAGAACATTTTGACAAAGAAATGTAGAACTTGATGGTACAATCATGATAATTGGTAAAATAATGATTTACAAAAGATAATTAAAATGGTATTAGTGTTAAATGTAACTTTTTCAATGATTCAATCTTTCACTCAATTCTCAAGACATTCATGCAAACCAACCACAAAATTCTGTTTAAAATAGGAAGATAAAAAAAGATTGATGCAGCAAAATACTTTTTGTGATAATTCCTATCAGACATTGTTTCTTTATACAAAGTTAACAGTTAAATAAAAGTATAACTATTGCTTACATTGTTTATGGTAGTCATCCAAGAAGAATAACAAAGTACTTATAGTGGTTGTCAAGCTGGTATACAAGATAGTGACACTAAATTTGATCCTCACATTAAGCAAAGTAAAAATCTATCAAAGGGGATTGTAATTTATTGAGTCCAGCAAGGAAGAAATGAATTCATAATTATATTTGATGAACCTTTTACTTTATTGGCAAGATCCTAACCTCCCATATTCAGGGTTTCAAGTCTTGCACACACACAGGATATTCAAGAGGATGCACTGGCTCAATCTTGTGTCCAATGAGGAGCTCAGTGCTGTGTTCAACAACAACCTGAGGACTACCCTACCATCTGCAAACTGGGGATGACCTAACAGCTGAGTATACAGCTGCTGGAAGGACATTGTTCATCATGACCTCCATTCATTTAATCTGGTGCTGAGGATGTTCCAAAGGCTCTGACAAGACTGTGAGAGCTGAAGGGACAAGGTGGCTCTCATGGACTCAATATTTTCATGGCATGAGATTTAGCAGTAGCAAGCAGCACCCTTTCACTCATTGAGATTAACTGTCACTTAAAAGTTAGTATTTGTTGGTGTGACCAAAGGAAACAGTTTAATTTTGTGTTGGACATTAACTGGGTAATGCATAAGGATTTTTTAAAAAAATCAACTATGGATAAGTGGCAGATGAGAATGTGTTAAGTATATAAGCTTTCATTAATTTCTGGGCCTTACTCCTTACAAAATAAATAACTTTATTACAAGCAGTGACAAGAAAATACCTCTAATATATCTATACTAAAATATAGGAAATATATGCACTTATAATGATTTTCATTATATTATTGTTATTCATCAAGTATTTTTCAATGATATTGATTTTTCATCATTTTAGATTGGTCAGATCTATAAGAAAAAATGTATTTACTTGAGCTTCATTTGTTTTTATTTGCTCAGACTCTAGTGACAGAAAAAAGCAATACTAATGAAAAGGGAATAAATTTTAATCTTTAATAATTAATTCCAAATCTGATATCAGACAGCCAGTGTGGTAAGAATCAAAAGAGAAAGAAAATAAATGATTCTTTATCACATTTTACTTATTACATATTTTATGTAGAAACTGTCTTTAAAATAGTTTTTTTTTTTTTAAATATAATTTAAGATCTTCTAGTAGTAGTTTGGTAACAAAAAAATCAAGTCAATTGTACAAATCTAGTTTGAAATAATAATAAATAGAAGCTCAAAGGTACTTTTACGATACACATATTGTATTTCAGTTATCTTATAACTTAATCATGTGCTTGTATAAGGATTATCAAGGTTATATATATGCGTGTGTGTATGTGAGAAAGAGGAAAGGTAGAGGGTAAGAAAAGTAGTCAGGCTTAATACATATAAGGTAAGCAAATACTAAGGGCTTAATATATTAAGCATATAGTATCTACTTACCTTACTTACCCTCTACCTTTTCTTTTTCACATCTTTCATTTTTTTCTCTTCTTCCTTGCTTTCCCAATATTGTTGTCATGTGAAAATGAACAGATAGACAGTTGAGAACTATAGGAGGGGAGTGCTGAAAAGTTCTCTGCCTCACTTTCTAAAAATCAGTATTTCAATGACCAAACATAAAAAAAAACTTTTTAGAGTTAAAGAAATACTAGAAAAGTTTATTAGGGATGAATATGTAGAATAGCATATATGATTCATGGCTCCATAACTTTTCAACACTCCTTTATATATATATGTTGAAAAATTTCTCAGCATGACTCTCTTGACAAAATCTGATCAAATCAGATATGATTTTTTTTATCAGACTTTTCAGTACCCCATCAATAGATCTTGTATTTTTGCATTATATTTTTCACAGTGAAAACCAATATTAAACTGATCCAAAGCAGACGTGCTGAGAAGCCACACTTTTATCCTCAGCAGAGTAAACAGATACTATACTGATCACAGACAGAAGTGCTGATCTATATATAAATAATCCTGTCATACATTGTTTGTTGATGGAGATTTTATAACTGGAAACATGTAAAGATATACCCACTGTAATGAGCATTTGGTCACGGTAAAAAAACTAAGAATTTAACATGAAGAATTATGAATTTATTATATCCTTTTAAGAGTTTTCAATAAAATTCTAACCTCTTTTATGTCTTCTGTAAATGTCCTGTATTGGCCAAGTTTTTATTTCTGCTTATATTATTAATACAACCCTGCCTCATTTTTAGGTATAAAATTTAAATACCAATTTAAAATTTCTCTAATGAATTTATAATAAAACATTTACATTTTATTAAAATGTCTTTTATTGTCAGTGTAAAACAAAAAATGCATGTTTGCAGTCAGTTTTCTTGTTTTACCAATTAAAATAGTTCACTTCCAGACAATGCACAAGAAATCAATAAAACTTATGCAACTGAAAAGATTATTTATTTCAACAATAGCTACTTTGTGGATACTGATACAGAAAAGTACTTTGTGGATATACATTAAGGACAAAGTACTTTCAAGATTAAATAAAGCATGTCGCAAATGCACATTAAATGCAGGTTTATTAGTTGTACTTTTTATTTTAACAATACAACCAAATTGTTATAATTTCTGATTTTGAAATTAATAGAATATTTGTTACTAGAAAGATTATTCATTCTGTTATTCAATGATAAATGCATGAAAAAACAATAAAGAAAAAATGCTTGTTTTTCCATTACGATAAAAAGGTGTACATTAAGAATGTGCGATTTAGCTGGTCTTCTTGTAATCAATTGAAGTTTCAAAAAATTAGAGACAGCAGCACACTGGACAGGCTTACTTTCACCCCACTTGTAGGAGCAGATTTAGCCAGGTAATATACACACACACATAATATATATATATATATATATATATATATATATGAGAGTCATTCAATAAATAATGTGAATTTTTCGGTATAAGGACTTCTAATACAGATAGAAGCTTACTTTTTTTTTGTTTTACTTCTTTTTCACACGGATTTAATTTCTTTTGCAGATTAAAAAAAAACTTTGAGAGTTTTGGCAATTAACAAAGATGGCCGACCAAGAAGCATGCTCCAGGATTGAACAGCGGTCAGTTATCAAGTTTTTGGTTGCTGAAGGGTGCAAACCAGTTGAAATTCATAGGAGAATGTCAACTGTGTATGGTGCCACATGTCTCAGCAAAAAAAATGTCTACAAGTGGGCTAAATTGTTTAAAGAAGGACGGAGCAGTGTTGAGGATGAAGACAGGCCTAGGAGGCCTACAGATGTAAGGTCTCCTGAGGTGATCGAATCAGTCAATGACCTCATTCAGTCTGACAGAAGAACTACAGTGAACTGCTGAGGCAGGTCAAGAAAGACATAAAGAACAAATGCAGGGGTCATCAGTCAGAAGGAGTCATCTTGCATCATGACAACACAAGGCCTCACACAGCAGCCCAAACGGTGCAGACCATCAACGGGCTGGGCTGGGAACTGCTCCCTCATCCCCCTTACAGCCCAGACCTTGCCCCTTCAGACTTTCACCTGTTTTGTCCCTTGAAAGCGTTCACGAGAGGCACAAAGTTTAAAAGTGACGATGAAGTCAAAAGTGTTGTGAGCAACTGGCTGAGACATCAGTCTAAAGATTTTTACGCTGAGGGAATACAGAAGCTTGTGCACAGACAGGAAAAGTGTGTGACAGTGCTGGGAGACTACGCTGAAAAATAAAAAAAAGTAACCTTCTATCTGTATTAGAAGTCCTTATACCGAAAAATTCACCTTATTTATTGAATGACCCTCGTATATATATATAAGGAACTGGATTAAATCCAAAATATTTTTAATTTATTTGTTTAAACATTATTTTTAATGGATACTCATATTTGAGTAGATGTTCTGTTTTTATTATTAAATAGTATATTTATTTATTTACATTTGCTGGCCTGAATATTCGAGAAACCTTGTTAGAAAAATATGTGCTCTCTGGCAGGATTCAAACCTCCATCCCCTAGGAGAACCCATCATTAGATCTGACATGCCTTAACCTCTCAGCCATGTAGGACTTCCTAATCAAACAAAGTCCAAATAGTGCTTTTTCAAGAATCGGCAAAGATGTGTGTTCAAAAGCACTCAGGTAACAGTAGCAGGAGTATACCAGGAATATGTGAAGTCCAGAAAGACATCAACAGCATGTGAAAACTGTGGGTGACTACAGGTGATGAAGGAAAAGAACCACTGACAAGAATGATAACCACACAACAAAGGGTAGCATTGCATTAAATCAATTCCCAATTCAATGCTAGTGCTACATAACTTATCCATCAATGTACTGGATATTACATTGTATGATGTTACATAGTCATCGACTTACAAAGGTACCATTATTGACACCATGGTTACTGAATTTCAGCTGGGCTAAAACATTTTGCTTGAATTGTGAAAGACTGGCCCCAGTTCACCTGGGGTTTATGGCCATATCACATTGAGACACCAGTTCCTATGCGATCACCAAAGTTAAGCAATGCCAAGCCTGGTCAGTACCTAGATGGATGATTGCTTGGGAATAACAGGTGCTATAAGCTTGGATGTGCAGTAGTGTAATGGATAATGACTCATAATTGTTAATCCAAAAGCAGAGTTCCAATTTCAGTTTGGTTTGTTATATTCACTTACATGCAAATGCCCTTGGTAAATCTACCTCTTCTCTCCACCAGGTATGGGTTAAACAATAAGACTTGTATCTCAATAAATCTTTATTATCTCAAAAAGAATTCTTCCAATTTGGCTTTAAATAACCTGCAAACAGTTGATAAGTCATACAAAACAAATCAATCAATCAGTTTACCAGATAAAATGTAATTTTTCCACCTAGTGCAAGCAGATGGTAGAGTTCATATGTGGAGAAGAACACATTCTGCCAGCTGATAGTGGTATTTTGACAGAAACCACGAGTGAAACTGAAATCTATCTTTTTGAAAACTGTGATATACACATTTCTTATTACAGACAATTTTCACACTTATCTTCACCATGTTTCCTAATGATGATTTGTTGCAGCAAGATAATGCATCCACCACTACAACATGCACAGGTGACACAAATCTGATTCCAAGAACACTTAGGTGACTTCCTGGCATTCCACTGGCTCCTGTACTCACCAAATTTAAGTGGCATTGAGTATGTATAGGACATATTGCAGACCTGGTACAAATTCCCTACAGTCAAACTGAGATCAGGACTGTGTGTGTGTGTGTGTGTGTGTGTGTATATATATATATATATATATATATATATATATATATATATATATATATGCAACAATTGCAGCACCTTGTAGACTCCATGCCACACATTACAGATTCAAGGCTAGTTTATTAACTAACTTTTTAGCACTCTAAGTGATCAGATTGATTGAAATTACAATAACTCCTGAACTAATATCAAAAACTTAACAAAACTAATATAACTGTAAAGAGTATTCTTCTTTCAAATCAAACTAAATAGGGTACGATGGTGTCAATAATGTTACTTTTGTAACCTGCTATTGAACTCACAATTCTTTGGGTCTAGTCACTGGATCTAACTGAACACCTTTAGCAGTGGTGAACCAAACCGTGGAGAGTTGAGTTAAAGCGAAATAACTGTAACATCTGGAAGAGGCACAGCACATGGAACTAGAACAATCTACCCTGGTGGACAAAATAAAGAGTTTAGTTCAAAATGCCAATCACCTGAAGAAGGCCAGAGTGTACAACAGCCAAAACGTTGTGAATATGCCAATAAAGATGAGGATAACAGTGTAAATAATGTAAGTAATCATAATACCTCATCTCAGAGATATAGACAGATAATGAGTGATGATTGTCAGTAGGCTAAGCTTGGCCCTGGTGTGATAACCAATAATATACATAAAAAGATTCACTTTATCAAATAAACTGGTAATAAAAGTAATAAAATCATTTCTACCTTATATATTACTGGCATAATTTCATAATAAATTGCTTATTCAAAGAATAATTCAATATCAATGAAATCAACTTGTATCCATGCAAGCCCAGCTGAGAAAATGTAAACATTTACTTATGATTGCATTCACAGCAATGGAATGTTTCTATTATCGTACATTATTGTATTGTTATTAGCGATATTTTGTGACTATTGAAGTATAAGTAAAAGCCCATTAGTACACCAGGCTGTTTGTAACTGTTTAAGGAAAAGAAGAAAAATCAGTATTCACAAAAGATCATGTGATGAAATGTAAACAAAACAATGGTTTCCCTTTTAGGGGACATGTGTGGGAAAAACATGATAGAATCGGTTTTGTTTTCATTTTTATTTTGAATTTCTAGGGATACAGTAACAACATTTTCAATAATATCATCTTTACTAAATCAATAAGCAGTTGTCTTATACTACAGGTAAATTTGATATATTTTTTTATCTTGTCATATCTAAAAGTCACTTTATACACAGAAATATGTGGTAATTTTTTTAAAACAAAAAATTCTTACTTCTCACCAATTGTTATGGGCTTTTAATAAATGGTGCAAACACGTACACAAACACACACAAAATTAAGTGCTAAGAAGCTCTTAATTACAAAAAACTTTAAAATTGAAACCCAAATGAAAAATAAAGGTTGAAAGACATATTTGTATTATGTCTAAATGTGAAAAGTATTAGGATCTAATTTAAATGCAATTTCAATTATCTTCTGTCATCTTAATTTCTGTTCATTTATTGTTCTCACTCCTTAATAATGTTTTTATTTTTTCATATTCTTTCACACTCAGTAACCAACTTGCATCTTAGTGGCTTTGTTGCCTTGTTTGAATTATCCCTCCACCAACCTCTCTCATAGGCAGGACATGGCAAGCCTCTCACTGCTCTATCAATACTTTCACAAAAAGTGCTCAAATGAACTACAGTTCTGCCAGTTCTAATCTTCACAGCAAGGAACTGCCATGCCACTTACATTGTAGCAAACCACTCTAGTTCCCTCCATACTCCAGTAAGTTCCATTCAAACAGCTTCTTCCTGTGAACCACTGCTCTGTAGAACCAACTCCCAAGAGGATGTTTCCCCAATTACTACAATCTTGACCTGTTCAAGTCTAAGGTTAATTGTTAACTGGTACAAATTGCCTCCTAATGTAACAATCTATCTCAAGTTGCCCCCAGGCCTTGTTATGGATGAACCTTACAGTAAAAAAAAAAAAAAAAAAAAAAAATTTACTTTAATAAATAAAACATGAAAATTATATTTCATTATAATTTTTCTGTCAATTTTTGGTTAAAAAACATGAGTCATTAACACACCATTTGTGTTATGTTTTCTTATAAACTAAACTGAAATGCTCAACTAACTCCTGCAAATTTCCATTCATGACCCTCCTACTCAGGCCCCTCTGACCATGAGAAAACAGTAACTAAGTAATGGCTGCAAGGCACAGAGACCAATGTTTAAAGATTGAATGGATGAAAACAAATATTTATTTACTAAAATTATGCTACTAATAACAACATTTTATTTTAATTTTGGGACAATTTAAATATTTTAGGGGGATAATTGAACTTTTTTTTTTGAGATAGTACAGGGATGATCATGAAAAGAGTTAGTCTGAAGCCCTGGTACAAATTTTTTTAAATTTGCATTAAAAATATTTTTCATTCAGATTATTATCAATGTAGAAATATGAATAATACTTAAAACTTTACAGTGCTTCAGTATTTTGCTGTGGCCTATTTACATCTATTAACAGAGATTAACAGACTGGTTTTATGATTTAGATTTTTATCTTTCTGTAAGTGGTCCACCAAGCATCCAAATTACAATGCAATATTACCTGAAGAAAAAAAAAATAGGGATAACTTAATCCAATTTAACTTAAAAAAGTAATTGTCTCACGTTCATTGAGCAATATGCCTCTTTTATATTAAATTGATAAATTACAATTAACAATTTTGATCTCAAAGTTCTTTCATAAACTCAGGTTTTTCAAGGTATTACTCACACAAACATGTTCATATCTTTTAGTGTTTATTTTTTTTAAAAAGTCTTCATAAATGAATAAATGCTGTTTTATGATAACATCAATATTAATGTAATGCTGAATAATTCCTATTCTATTTAAAAAGTAATTCAAAATTTTTTTAAAATATCAAAGATTTTGAATTGCTTCCAGGTATCTCTAACAGACACAATATCTTACTCAAATGACACCTGAGGAAAATTTAAAAAAACCCACATACGAGATTATCTACTTACAAACATGTATAACAGGCAGAAGGATATATTCTGATCCAAACCATCAGAGATATTTTTTTTATGAAATGGTCCTTTGATATCAAGTAATTATTCATCCTTGTGTCAACATTTTGTACAAGATTAAAAATATATTGTGAAAAAACACAAGGTATAGTAAGGAAACCTATTTTAAATTGGGACTTCTGACATTTAAATCAAGACCAAATTCAAAGAAAAATGTATATCTATTTAACAATACACACTCAAATATTTTATGTCAGTGAAGAATAGATGGCCAAAACATTTTAAATTCAGAATTTTTTAAATTAATGTGATACATTTAAAAGTTTTTGTTTGCCAGAGTAACTTTAAATGCAATCAGAAGAAATGGAAGAGAATGGGTAGTGGAGGAAAATATTTGTGTACTAGAAAATTTCTTCAAATAAAAATCTAATATCTTTTCATTGATATATTTTTATCGGAGAGTATTCCACATTTTACAAGTATTTAACTGGTTTTTCAACTTGACTTCACTTTTTTCTTATAACAGAATATACCAATAATAGACTATAGTCCAGTGAAATTACTTGGCATTTCAAGAATGTACCAGCAATGAAATTTATTCGAAAGCAATTTTTAAATGTCCATCATTTTAATGTTTTACTATATTCTAGCAAATTATATTTAACTGTAATTTAATTTTTTTTTTTTAAAACAAAACAAAAAAAACAAAAACGTGTGTGTATGTATGTATATATATATATATATATATATATATATATATATATATATATTTTTTTTTTTATAACAATATTTGAATTGAAATACAAAGAAATTAAATAAAAAAGGGAAACAAAAAGAAGGTACATTCTTGGTGTTTGGCAAAATCTAGTTTTATACCTACAGGGAATCTACAGGTAAATTCTTTCAATGGATTGTAATTAATATAAACACTTTATTTCTATGTAAAACATACTTTTCCTCAGATAGGCTTTAATCTGGAGAATTCTAAAGGTGTACTTTCTGGAATTAACTGTTCAATAGAGCTTGGCCATTTTTTTTCTTTTACATAGAACCAATTTCTAATTTATTGCTTGAAAAATGAATAACAAAATTCACATTTTGAAGAAAGTCATTTTTTTACCATTTAAAATTAATGGAAATACTGCTGTGATTTAAATAACAGCCTTAGGGTTCTTCCAGCCTCTAGGGTAATTACAAAGAAGAAATTGAAAAGGTAATTATGATAAGAGAGAGAAAGAATGAAAGATTAAAGGTGGTGAAGAAATAAATTTGAGGAAGAAGGAGAAAACATGACAAAATACAGAAAATAGTAGCAATAAGAAAATAAAAAAGGAACAAAAGAGAGGAAAAAAAATGAAGTTTGGTTAAAAGGAGAAATGAATACAAGACAAAAACAAAAAAATAAAGGATAAATAAAATATTTTATAAGAACAAAACTTAAAAAGAGAAGACATAGTAGTAGGGCATAATCTAGGCTGCTATTTCAAATATTGCGTTGTCTGAGATTCGGCAAGATCTGATAACATGAAAAAGGGCCAAGAGGTTTTACCAGTTCATGTTATGTAAAATCTAGAATACCTATGTGATATAAATATATTACATTTATTTATCTAATAAAGTATTTAAAAGTAAAATGCATATTCTTAAATTTTGGATAACATTTTTTTGTCAACTTTCTTTAATTTTAACTTTTACTCTTTCTAATTAAAGAATCAATCAGAAAGCTCATGACACTTGCTTCAGCTCTTAAAGCACCGAACTGAAGACAGTAAGTTAATATTTATAACAAGTGGGTATTGCAAATTGTATGAGAATTAGATTGACTGTTAGGGAAAAAGCCATTTGTCCTGGAATGCAATCAGTTTTCCTTATCCTAGCTCAGTATACTATGTTCAGTGTCATTAACACAGCTTGGAAATAGAATATCAGGCACCACAATCAATCTTAATTCTAACTACTAGCTATGCCTTTAAGTGCAACTAAAGGCAATGAATTTTATATTCAATTTTCAGAGACTCATACACATTAAGAAGAAGAAAATCATACTTCCAAACTAGTTGTGTTAGACCTCTTTATCTAGATATATTCAAGCATTGAGCAGCAGGCAATGGTGAATAATGATTCGAACATCAAAGTAATCAATACTATGGGTTTTGTTAAAGTCTCACATTTAGTGTTTTATAGGCCTCACATGAAAAGAAACACTGATACATATAGTGGGCATTAAAGGAGAGCAGTTTCTTGGTTGTAAAAAAAAAGTTGTTGTTAAGTCTTATCAAGTAAATGTGAATTTTTATGAAAATAAGATTCATATCTGTAATTTTACCAACTTTCTTTTAAACCACAAACAAAACCTGAGAATCTGATGAAATAACAATTACCCACACAGAAAATTCTTCACAAAATAAATATGAGACCATTTTTCAAATACCAATTGTAAAAGTTTAATTAAAAATCAAATTTTCAAGGAACATAACAAATTTAAAATAAAAAGCATGAGTAACAAAAGCTTGTATCACAAATTATATTAAAGATACTTATTCTAAATATTAGAATTTACATTTTCAATTTGAGCAAACATAAAACCTATTTAACTATCTACAAATATGTAAGTTGGACTTTGAGAAACAACAGTAAATATTTATTGCTAATAAAAAATCCATTACATTTTCAATACTATGACTATCCAACTATACTTACAAAATATGAAATGTGTAATTCATACATACTTCATATAATTACTGATGTATGTTACATATATTTTTAGAATAAAACACTTTTGTCAAAACAATCTTTTAAATATTCAATATATTAATAAATTCATAAAACATTCAATAAAATTTTTTTGATCCAATGTGCTTTTAGATAATCTTTTTAAGAAATGAATAAAAAAATTTCCAACAGTATAATTATGTAACAAATTACAGAAATTAACAATAGGTAATAACATATTTTTTTATGTCTATATGCCATAAGGAGCAGGGTTTAGCTTTAAATTTGATTATTTCATTTAGAGGGTCAAAGTTTATAATTTTGTTTTAATAAACACAAAAACTTTGATAATAAGTATATAGTTGGTAGCACTAAATAAACAACACTGCCACGAAACAAACTGTTTTGGTTAATTCTCTCTAGACTTAATTTTTTTTAATCATAATAGTAATACAATAATTCAAATAAAAAGGCATTTTCTTATTACTGTTGGCTGCAGAGATACACTGGAAAAAAATCACAGATTATTCTAAATTGGAAAGATGTGCAGCTTTCAATAAAATGAAATCCAATGATAAAATTCAAATTATGAACAGAGCAATTTTCAAAGTAAATTTTGACTATATAGACATTACATAACCAAATAAACTATATAGGACACCAGTGATGTAACCAATTTCATGATTTGTTCTTGGTAAGTGAACCAGCAAAGGATATAATCTGGTTAAAATTTCTAACACTTTATTTTGTATTTTTGCATATAATACTCTGTAACTTTATTTGTTCATATATATATTATATAAAAAAAATACCAAATGTACTGTCATTTGAGCTTATTGGGTATAGTCAAATGTACATCATCTAATGTGGTTTAAATTCCAATGCCAACAAAATACAGCCAAGAATTATATTAAAAATGCTTATTTTCTCTGCTATGATAAAACTATATGTAATAAATGAAGCCTGGTTATGTCTTTATACATTAGTTGATATCTGTCTATTGAAGTGTTGTAATTATTTACATTATTTACATTGTTCGGACTGTTGTCCTCATCTTTATTGAATATGGCATTAAAGATGAGGACAACAGTCCGAATAATGTAAATACTAGTTTATGTTCTAGTATATTTCACAGCTGTCTTATTGAGAAGTCAACAAAATGATTTAACGAACAAAGAGCAAAAAAAAGAAAAAAAAATAGTTATAACAATAATTACAAATATATTCTTTATGAAAAAATTTGTAATATCAGAAAAGTATCAAATTAACTATACAGATCAACATCAACTTATGATCATGATTGGTTATGACCAGCAGATCGTAAGACAACTTGTAATTAATTTTACAATCTTTTTATCTTTCTTTAAGCATTATTGCTTTTTTTTACAATCTTTATGGTTTCTTTACATTTGATACCATTATCTCTCAACACATTGTTTTGTTTCTTATTTTTACATTTGTCAGATTTAAGTCAAAACACTGCATAATAACAGATAACCAGACATAACAATTCGGGATCATGGTTGTAAAGTCAAACAGTTTAAGTTGCATAGGTCATAAGTCAACAACAACCTGTACATGTGTTTAAAAAATTCATTAAAAATAATATATATATATATAATATCATGTATATTTGATGAATTAAGAATTTTAACTTACCCTGCTTCCCAAGAAGCGAGCCTCTAATAATTCTTGCTTCCTAGGATCCAGACTTTGTAAATTATCCATAGAGAAGGCTGAAATTATACAAAGATTAAAATGAGTATAATGTAAACAAATTATTACTTTTGAAAAGTTTTAAATCATCAAGAAATATATACAATTTTATAAATTTGGCTTTTTGTAAGGAAACTATAAAATAAAAAGTACTGAAGAGATAATTCAGCATTTCAAGTTAATTCTATTCATAAGTTTATCATGTCACATGAGAACAAAATAGTCAGAAATTCACAAAGTAAATAGTATAAAACACAATATCAGAATAAAGCTAGGTGTGGACAGAGTATGATTTATTTCTTAATTAATATTAAAAATTCAGATTCTTAATAAAAATTAATTTTTTTTTAAAGAGTATGGATTGCATAATATTTTACAAAAAGAATTACCTAGCTTTATTTAAGATCTAGATTTTAACAACTTTTTACAAGTTCATCCCAAATCACTAAATTTAATTAGGAAGATATTATTTTCTGGAAGAAAATTTATAGTATATTTAAATTTTAATATACTGTATATACTTGTGTATAAGGCAACTTCATATATAGTATGACCTCTGAATTTTTTTTTTGCATGAAATTTTAAATGCTCCAGAAAAAAATGACTTGTGTATAGTGCAACCACCCATTTTTTGCATAAAAAACTGACCATAAAAAAAATCACACTATACTTGAGTATATATGGTAAATCATTTAGCCCATTATCATATAATAGTAAAATTTTAAAACTTTACACCCAAAATGTTTTATTTTATATTTAAATGCTATAAGTGCAGAATTTATTAAGCTATTTTCTTCTCTTGTTCTAAACATTGGAAGATGAAATAAAGTTGCTTGATGTTTGACAAATCAAATGAATCAACATTATATAATAATTAACATTGTGTATTTATTCATTTATATCTTTTGTGTCATGCTCTATGTAATTAGATAGAACAAAATTAATAATGTTTGCAATTCTTTCATTAATAGTGGATTTCTTTTAAATAAAGTGGCATAAAGCAATGACGCTGTCTTTGAATTTTTATGCCTGCTGCATCATATGAAATAAAGTATATTCTAAACACTTTAATAACTGGTGTCTATTATATATGCCTACTCTGTTATATATATGTGTACATTAAAAATGAGGTTTAATCACAGACTGTTGTAAGACAGCCTTCATTTTTGGTGGCGCAGGTACATATTGTTTTAAAATCTATCTTATCTTTATTTCATTGCATCTCAGTATTAAAACTTTGTAACACTTACTGTCATGTTTGACAGCATGGATACACAAGTTATAAATAAATCACTATTGTTCTGATGGATAAGTTTACTTGAACTCAATTATAATGTACTCTAAACAACTTTACAAAAATTTCTCATCAAATCTGAATTTTCTATTGAAAACAGCACTATTTCAAAACCGACTTTGAATTGTAAAAAAAATTAAATGCATGATTTGAATTGTAAATATTTTAAGATTGTCCAGTATCAATAAATATCAAATAATTTCATACAAACAAAAATATATTTTCAAATGTAGTTTTTATTACAAATTGATTGACAATCTTGTAGAAACATTCCAAATTTTTATAAAGATTATAAAGAATAAATTAGAATGATTACAATAGTATACAGCCATTGATTAACTTTTATTGCTTTAATATCAACAATCAACATTCAAAGAAAAATGTGTCACCTGAAGTGTCTGCAAAAATTCTCACTGCTAGATTGTGGTACAAGCATTCATGGAAACATCTTTTTTTCTTATCTAAGTATTTTCACAGTTTACTTAGAAACATACATTAAAAAAATCTTTAAAAACTAATTTGTAACACTGGTGGAAAATGTATACAAATTTTTATTCAAGACTTATTAACTTTTCTTGAAAGATTCATATTGATGTTTAAAGTATATTTTCCCAGTTGTCTCAAAGTTGAAACAGAAAATCATAATTTAAAGTATAAATTGAATTTTAAATATTAGATTGTCACACATGAAATGACTCCTTTTTTGGTTAGTTGTTGATGTGGTCATCTAACAAAGTAAACTCCTTAGTATATAAAAAATCTTGACTTATTTCTGACTTTTTCTTTCCAGATAATTTTTATTCCAATATATTGTGACTCATAAGCCCAATGAAAATGATTACAATTAAACAATGTCAAGTAATCTTACTGTATGAACACAAACTGGAAAAAGAAGCATTTTTGCATTGAATCATTACAGGCTATTAGAAATGGATACTCTTTGACAACAGTAAGAAAGTAGGTTACTGGTTAGATGCAAGTGAATCACCAAAACAATACCAAAAACCTCCACTGCATCCTAAAAAGTTAATGTTTACTGTATGGTGGTCTTTCAAAGGAGTTATTCATTATTCATTCTTGCCTCAAGGAAAAAGAATAACAGCAATCTCATATTGTGGAGAAATTGAGTGTATGCATGAAAAATTGAAAAAGAAACATCCTAAACATGTGAATAGGGATGGTCCAATTTTGTTGCATGACAAACATGCATGCTTCTTAATCAACTGTCCAAAAGCTGTATAGCCTGAATTATGAAATTTTACCTCATCCTCCATATTCACCTGATATCCCTCAAATGATTATCACTTATTTAAGCATTTTGAGCTTTTCATATGCAATAAAACATTCTCCAATAAGGAAGAGGTAATCAAAGCAATTTGAACTGTTTATCACATCAAAGGATGAGAATTTTTTTTAAAGAATTTAAAGGTACGTTGGAGAATAGTCATTCATCAACATGGTGTCTATTTCAACTAAATTAATTAGTTATTTAACATTTCAGAAGTATTTTATTCATTTCCTATGAAGTGCATCATTTTATGTGTGACAACCTAATATAAACAGTTTCCAATTTGAAAATTATTTCCTTGATGTCGACATGAAAAGTTATTTAATGAAGTCAGAATAATTTTAAATGTAGAGTGACATCTTCTCTTTTTTTGTCAATTTCTATATTTTAAATTATATTAAGTTATACTAAATGAAGAATAACATTTTAGTGGAATAAATATTCAGTTCCTTTGAATATTTATCCTCAAATAAAATTAATTTGATTAATGTATATGAGTTTGTAAATACTTATGAAATGTAAGACAAATATAAATGTAATTAACAAAATAATTTTTTTCTTTTATTTTTCTTTATTCAATTCCAGATTTCAAATGGTCTCATCATTGACAATTGAAATCCTAAGAGAAACAGATCAACTAATGATTCACTAAAAACTGCGACTCATTTGTATTGAAACTAGAGACAACATCTTGAGTAAAAGATGGTCAGTAAATTTCATCATTAGTTGAAAAATATAATAAAAACAACAGCCATTTCTCTTATATACATAAATAAAAAATTGTCTTACTGACTTTTGAAAAACTGGTAATTTGGCAATGAACATCAAGGGAGATAATTGGCATTCCAGTCCTGAAACTGACCCCTACATAAAGAAAACAAATCTAAATGCTTTTTCTTTAAGAAAGATAAAAAAAAAAGTTGCTTTCCTCAAATAATGATTAGCTTTAATTCATGAATACTAGAGACAGATACAAAAATTGTAGATTAACAAACAGAAGAATAAATATTCTGCATAGTTAACCAAAAAAAACATTCATTAAGCTTATTTAATAAGTAAAAATAAGAGATTTTTTTATTTTGAACATTAACTTTATTGAACAGCATATTTAGTGTTTTGTTCCAGTAGCTTGTGTCATCTTTCAATTAACTTCATAATCCCATCTTTGAAAATTTTCTCAACAAAGAACTGCTCTAAATGCCTTTGGCAATCTTTCAAGGGATTGAAATTATCGAAAGGCCAGAATAAATGATCATCCAAAGGTGTAATATCTGATAAATAGGGATGATGAATGAAAACTTCCCAGTCAATCTATAGCAATTTTTGTCACTTTGGTCACCAAAGAAACATACAATTTAGCACTATCTTGATGGAATATTATGCCCTTTCTCTTAACTATTTCTGAATTATTTTTCAATTGCTGCCTTTAGGCCTATTTGGAAGTATTACTCATGTGCTTGTTTGAATCAATCATTTGGTTCTCCAAAAGAAATTCATAATGGTGTATTTCCTTACAATTTCATATATATATATATATATATATATATATATAAATATCATCACATTCTTTGGATGAAAACTGATCTTTAGTACAGCTAATAGTGGTTTAATTTGTTTCTTCTATAATCTATTTATTTACATTTTTATAAAGTATCCACTTTTCATTTCTCATGAAAATTTATTTAAAAACAGTATATTTGTGTTAGATTTTAGCCTGGAGTGTCACTTAGTCTAGGAGAAGAACAACACTTAATTCAAATTTATGGAAAAGGCAATAAGAAACCACTGAAGTTTATTTCCCAAGAAATCACAACAATTCACAGATAATAATAAAAAAAATAATCTGGAGAACTATGATACTCCACATCTGACCAAATATGGTATTTAATAAAGAAAAAATGATTAAGTTTTTCAATATATCAGACACTATAATTTAAAAATATAACTGATGGTGACCCATAAGAAATGAGTTCATTATTAGAGTGCTCATAAGAAAAAGTTAGCCAATATATTATCAACAGTTTCTATTTTTACTTTATTATTTTAAAACTTATCATTTCTTACTAAGGGTTCTTTGACCCTCTAAGCAATTGAATATCAGGTATGGTGGTAAAATTTCTTTAAACAGTCATAAAACTCTCAAAGCTAGCACTATCTTAATTAACAGTATCTTTGTTATCAGTGATAAATGGTGTAAAACAGGAAAATAACATTGACAAAGACACCTTTATCAAATTGTATACACAGACACAATCAGATAACCAAAAACATTTATGCCCTTTTCAATGTTGTTTTTTTTTATCAACTTCATAAAAGATAAAACTTTCAGAATGGAACATATGTAAGTATTTTCAATAACATGGAACCTAAACACACAATTTACTACCAGATAAATTTCATAAAATTATATACAAAATAGTAATAAGCAAA